CGGACGGTTGCACCTGCGGTTCAAGACCATCTTGCCCTTTACTCTCACCTCCGCCGCCTGGACGTCTCGCGGGGCACACAGTTTCCCTCTTCGCGGTATTCCCGCGATCGTATAATGGAAATTGGACGTACGTTTAGCAGCTTACCAAGGCGAACGTGGCGTCAAACCTGCGGAAGCGACGCGTGCATTTTTTTGTTTTTTTTTGTTTTTTTTTTTGCGTTTTATGTAACAACGAAACGCGATAATAAATGTTTCTCTTGTGCTCTCGTGGGTGCAAGTTCTTGAAAAAAATATTTTCGCATTTCGTTATCTGCGTTTCAATGAGAGAAGATTATTTTTGCGGTTGGAAATGTTTTAACAACTTTGTCTTTAGAAATGAAACAAAAAAAAAAATAAAAAAATAAAATGGTGTCACTTTGAGCAAAGGAATTTCTCTGTAAACGCGTTCGCAAGTTGAACGCCACCGACGACGACGACGACGACGACGACGACGACGACGTATATCAGTTAATTCCGTGATCTCGAGTTCTCTCTCGTATCTGCGGCAGAATTTCTCGATTTCGAATTTCACACGAAGCTGGCGGCGCTCTCTTAAAGCGAGTCCCTCTCCGTTTCTCCTCCTCGACACGCCCCGATCTCTTCGATCCTGCATCTCCTTTCGACTTCGTTCGTTTTGTCTCCTCCCCTACATAAACACTCGGTCTAGAATCGCGGTGCAAGAACGTCGGAATGACGATCTTTCAAAGGAAACAAGGTACTTCTGGCCTTGTGGATTCGGAAAGTACCGGAGGAGGAATTCCGTAGACCAACAGAAGTTAATGAAACATTAATCGAAAACGTCAAGGATTAGACGCTTGCAAATCTTCGCGCGAGTGTCAGAGAATCCGCATTCCGCACGCAGCGCGAGAACGACGAAATCTCCGAGATTTAACCGTGTCGGATAAACAGTCGAGGTTAATTGAGTGTGATATCAATTATCGGGTGTGATAATTCAATTAAACTGAGAATATATATTTTTGTTGGATATATATATATATATATATACATATAAATGTACATTATAAACTAAATATATGAAGTCTCGCGAAAGTTTATTCGCATCTTTATTCATATTTTTGATAAATAAAAACTAAGCAAAAAAAAAAAAACAATAAAACATTCGTCGATAGAAGAAGTGAAGGAAATCGGATATCTTTTATTATCGGGGGATTGAAATTTAGCTCGTACGCGTACAACGTGATACCGCGCGTGATAAATCTCGACTATAAAATACGGTTTCGTAAATCTAAATCACGTTGAATTCTGTTTTCGTTTTCCCTAAAATATGCAACTATTTCGCGAAGTCCGCTTTTGGACCGGATCCGGGTAAATATTGTATCGGAATGGCACGGCAAGAAGAGTATTGCGGTGTCTCTCGCGGGCAACTTTGTTCGACGTTCGAGTTTCCGGCTCGGGCCATGACTCTTGGTGCAACCGCACGATCTCGTCTGTGGTCACGAGTGGGATCTAAATTAATGGATTGGAGCGCGATACATTTTCTTGTAAAGGACAGGAGGATGGACTATTGATCTTAAGAAAATACGTTCCGACTCGGGAATCGCAACTCTCGAACGCGGAGTTTCTTCGACATTGGCGCTTCCACGTATTTTTTTTCTACTGTCGGGATTCGCGCATTTAGTTGAGATTGTGATTCGATTTAATTATCTTGTTTTATTTCCTCTTTATTTTCAAATTTTCAAACGCTCAATTAAAAAATTCGCTTCAACCGAATGATTTGCGCGTCAACCACGTCTGCGAGACAAGTTAGTTTTTTTTTTTTACGCGTGCTTGAAATTTGTATTTGTGTGATTTTAGTTAACTCAAAACACACATTGCGCACGGTATTGGCGCACGTAGGGTGCGACACTCGTTCTTTTTTTTTTTTTTTTTTTTGTCCACGCGTGAGAAGTGAGCATTCGCGCGGGACTTAAAAAGAGCGACGCTATATAACCGACCATGGAATAATTCGACTTGGTATTGCGTACGATAATCCGCCGTGTCACACGCGGTGCGGGGAGATAGAAAGGTGAAAGTATCGGGGTGGGACAACGCGAATCGTCGAAGGGGAGAGGCGGAGCGGGCCGGTATATATATATACCGAGGATTATAATAAGCCGGGCCGAAATTTATTTCGTTCTCCATTAATAACGACACTCTAGGGCGCCCGAAAGGGCCATAGCATACTGCTACCCTTTCGCCACGCGACGCTTGTTATTACCGTCGCCAAGGGTGGCCCCTTATCCCTCAGAGTTTGCTCGTTTACTTTTGAAAGAGTCGGACTGTTATTTCAAAAATTAACCTTTCCCCTGATTTCGCGCGATAGTGATATAAATTTCTCACTGTGACTTCAGACATTTTATTCCCGCATTAATTGAAAAAAAAAAAAATTTAAAAAATAACGAATTCTTCGTGAGAGTTAAAACTAAAATTTTACATATATTGTTGCACCAAAAAAATTATATTCTCGTGGAAGATGTTCTACTTAAAAAATCTTATATCAAATCTTCTTAAAGATTTTAGATGATATTATTCTGAAATTAAGAATATATTCTTTATTTAAGAATATGTTTTTAATTTATATATTTTTTATTTAAGAATATATTCTTAATTTAAGAATATAGTCTTTTTCGATAGTGAGATATGTATGTTTTTCTATAGAGGCTTTTTATATTCTAATCAGTATATATTCTTATCAATATTTAGAGGATTTTCCTCTTAAAATAAAAAACTCTTCTTGGCGCCTATTTTAAGTATAAAATATACTTAAAGTAAGTGGGATATATCCTCAAAACAAGAATACAATTTTTTCGGTGTAATATTGAAGAAATGACTTGAATAATTCTGGACAAATTTATTAATTGTAATTATTTCTTTTGAAAAAAAAACAAAAATTATTAACACGAACAATATATTACTTTTGTTGAATAATAAAATCTTCCCAACTTCGCTTCTAGCGCGCGTCGTATCATATATATATATATATATATTAATCTCTGCTAATTATGCGTAAATCCCGCGGTATACGTCGGAATGATAACGTTGTAGCGCATTGGCAAATATCCCTTGGGAGATGTCGTTCGATATCCGACGTAAGCGACGCAGTCACGGAAACGCATTTAGGTGAGATACTCGCCTAATTAGTAAATAGGTATAAATCCACTACGCGCGTATGTGTTTCCCCCCGCGCGCGCGCGCCGAGCAACGAACCGTGTATTACGTGTATTACGATTAGAACTTAAGTCATTCCCAACGACAAGTTAATCACTGGATGTGTGTAAGCGACGCATGAATTGGTTGCGCAACAGAACAACGATAAGGGGAAACGTTTGCGATCTCGTTGAATGCGCCATCGTTACATAAATTATCCGCGAGTGTGTTAATTCGTGCAACAATCAACGCCTCTCGTACACACTTGCCATTACGCGCATCGCGATTGACGTTACAGTACAGTAACTTGACTCTTGAGCTACTCCATTGTGTCCTGTTGTTCAAATGGCGTCCACTCTCTCTCTCTCTCTCTCTCTCTCTCTCTGGTTGCCTCTCGAAGATATCTAGCAGTTCCCGGCGCGGATAAGGACACTACGTAACACGAAATCGCGGGACAATGAACCTCGCATGCGATCATCATCGGCGCGTTTATCGCGGGAAGTGAATTACCGCGACGAGTATCGAGGCATCGATCGAAAGTGCGCGGTCGGTTGCCGCATCCAGCGCGCCTCGCCGACATCGCGGTTCGCGAGCAAATAGGCTAATTAGACGATTGAACGTTATTCGAGAAGCAAAAGCGGCTTCTAACGAGCGGCGTTGCGGGAATGCGAAATGATCGGCGTATATACGCTAACGAGATCGTTCTCGGGAATCACTCGGGGGGCCGCAAAACGAAACCGATCGTCGAGACAAGATTATTAAAGGTCGGATGTATGAATCGACGCGCTACATCGCAAAATCGACAATTGACGATTGCAATAAGCCACGCAGTTTTGAACAAGTATATATTAGAGATAAAATATATACACACCGAAAAAATTGTATTCTTGTTTTGAGGATATATCCCACTTACTTTAAGTATATTTTACACTAAAATAGGCGCCAAGAAGAGTTTCTTATTTTAAGAGGAAAATCCTCTAAATAGTAATATATTGATAAGAATATATTACTATTTAGATATACTGATTAGAATATAAAAAGCCTCTATAGAAAAACATACATATCTCACTATCGCGAAAAAGACTATATTCTTTAATTAAGAATATATTCTTAAAAAAATAAAGAATATATTCTTAATTTCAGAATAATATCATCTAAAATCTTGAAGAAGATTTTTTAAGTATAAAATCTTCTACTTACGAGAATATAATTTTTTCGGTGTATGTTTGACAATAAGAATTTTCGAGCGAGAGAGAGCGAAGATATATATGTTTCTCACGTGTGATTCAAAGCTCACTTTCTCTCGCGATTAGAAGCTCTTAGAAAGCGAGATCCTCCAAGTCAATTCTGGGTTGTATTATCACTTTTCAAGGATCTCAATGGGACTAGTTCATTCGACTTGTTTACGCCTCGTTAACATCGAATAGGGAGCGGAGCATTATGAAGCGAAGCTTCTATACGTTCGCTACGGCGGAATGAAGTGTTTGTAGTCATTCATTCGACGCTTTCATTCAATATTAATTTTTAAGTAGAACGAATGAACGAATGTATTATATTGAAATGTATAGAAAGAACGATGTATAGATGAGAAAGAATTAGAGAGCTAGAGAGAGCGCGCGTTGAAAGAGCAACTAACTGACGAGAAGAAAAAAAGCTCTCGTAAGAAAAAAAATTAAATTGTCAGTTCAATAGATTGGTTAGAGGTAATTCGAATCCAAATTAATGAAACATTAATATCGCGGCCGCGCGCGATATTATGTGAGCGTTATTAATATTTACGAAACATTAAAATGAAGTTGTTATTTTGTTTCCAGTGTAGTAAAGGCGGTCCGACGGAGGGAAGTTACGTCCAACAAATCGAATTCACGGTGCAAATTGGTGCGTTGGGAAGCAGGTATTTATAATAATAGAGTGTAAAAGCAAACGTGCAATTTGCATGCTACACGTTATGAGCAGCGAGAATGCGAGACATAATATATAAACTTTAATTACGTCGCTTTAACTCGAAATTAGAATTGTACTTAAGTTTTAATTGGATCGATAGTCATTATCGCAGTAAGGCAAACTTGTGAGCGTCATGATTGGCTTTTCAATTTTAGAGTATTCCGCAATTGTGCGTTTGTGTGTGTGCGCGCGCGCGCACGCGCGTGTGTGTTGTGTGTGTTCCACTGAAAACTATTATGCATTTAGTGGAATTTATAATGAACGTAATGCAGTTATAAAACGTAATGCAGTTAAAATGACACTGTTATAAAAAAAAAAAAAAAAAAAACATAATACAGTTAAAATGTCACGGTTTTCGATCAAAAATATATCCGGCGGGATATATTGTCGCGTCTCGATAAAGAGACGCGCGTTCACAACCATATCGTCCGCAACTATATCGTCGCGAATCAGAAGAACAGCTACACATAGCAGCGTCTTTCTCAAAACGTCGTTCTTCGCCTCGTCGTGAGAATTATTTTCCACATTTTTCGCCTTCGAAAGATTTCATTCTTCGAGTTTATATTATATACCCCCCGGTTTCCGTTTGCGCGCGAAAAGACTTGCGGCGCGGCGCGGCGCGAGGCAAGAAAAACGTGTTTCTCAGTTTCCGTTTCCTTAGAATGGAAGTTCTCTATTCCGAAGTCATATTGGTTTCCATTTGTGTTCGAAAAAAAAGCCGCGCCGCCGCTCGTCGCGGCGGTGAAAACGCGCGTTTCTCTCACTTCTTCTCTATCTCGCGATGGCTGCATCCATAAAACTCGAAATAGCTATACCCCGTTCTCTCGAAGTAAATTCCGTTTTACATTTTCCGCGCGCGTGTCAATACAGAAGATTCTATTTTCCCATTGATTTTTTTTTTGTTCGTTTGTTTGTTGCGCGCGAGAAAAGTCCGCGCTGGAAATATACGCGATTTCACTTCTAATCTAACGGAATTTTTAGTCCCTCACCCGATCGAGAGATCTGGGAAATAGCCTTCTTCAATCTCTCTCTCCGACAAAAGCGATAAACGGTCGGAGAGAATCAGGGGCGAAATTCAGCGCGATTTTTCCGCCGAACGGAAAAGAAAACGCGCAATGCGAAGAGAAAACGCGTTTCCATCCGTGGTGCATATACACCGCGCCACTGTTGTCAGAGAGCGCGCTGTGTTTAAGGTCGCTGTGTATATAACGCGATCAAGAGGAGTCGGTCGCGTTTGCCGTCGCGTAAAGTCTCGCCCGAGACGTTATTGCACGTGACGGACGTGCTTTCTCTCTCTCTCTCTCTCTCTCTCTCTCTCTCGCGTTACTCTCGCGGTGCCGCCGGAGATCACGGACACCGACAGATGCACATGCTTGCCGTAGATATTTGTCTCTCGTGTCTGGAGCAGCTGGGGTTGCGCCTGGAAATATTGAAATATTAATAGAATATATCGACGAGGCGCGGAAGATGCGCGACGCCGCGAAAACTCGGAAGGGAAGACTGTCGAAATTCGGTATTCGGATCGTGGCGATCATGGCGAGGGAGGGGTGGGGACATCGTCTCGAACCGAATCCGAACACCATTTCACCCGTAAGGATTACCGGGAGCGACGAGAGGGAGCGGAGGAGTTGTTGCTCGCACAGACGAGTGTCCGCTTCGCGATCGGTCGAGCACATACTAACGCCCGTGTAATCGGATTTTTTAGACAGACGCACACTTGTTGCGAGTAGCATTGTTCGCGGCGGACTACGCGGGATGCCGACAACGACTATGGGGGTGGAATGCAAATCAGGTCGTCGCTCGCGGCGCGATTAGCGCGCCGGGCGATCGATCGATCGTCGCGCGCGGACGCGGGTTTTAATTATTGAATACCCGCTTAGACCATCCGCACGGAGAACCCCGATTGTTCCAATCGAGAGATCTCTTCGGAGAGATCTATTTTGAGAATATATTCGAGATTAAACGTAAAAACACGTCCGCGCGCGTTCTTGATGTTGTGAAACTTTTCGAAGGAAATAAAATTCCGCAAATTCCATTTCTCATTTGTTGTTGAACATTTCGCGATTCGCGAGGCTCGACACTAAACTGTGAGAGATGAGATCCTATATATATATATATATATATATAGCGCACGAAAATTCTAAAAAAAAAAAAAAAAAGATCACGAAGATTCTCGCGCTGTAATTAATGATCGAGACGACTGTAAATTAATGCGAAGCGAGGCCGAGTGAGAGATATAAGAAATATATTTTCCCGGGATCGGGATAATTTCTTGCATCTCTCGACGTTCGAAAACCCGAAGATTATCGCGGGTACCTTCACGGAGAAGGGCTCAGGCTCGATTGCTATGCGCGCGCGCGCTTGCTGATTACAAGCCTGAACAATGCGCAGATGGTCCGCTTTCATCAATGGATAATCTTGTTGATTTCACAAGATACAGCGTAATCGCATCGCGTGCACATTGCGGACGGAGTGGGACTCTCTATCGGATTCGGCCTGTGTCCTTTGTCTCCCTTGCGTAGGATATCCTCGGGACAAAGAACCAACTGTTACTGTTTTCGAAAAAGGTTGTTCGGATCTAAAAGATCTGAAAAATCTTTTCCTCGCGCACATCGCGCGCAGAAACAAAAACGTTTGATTGTTTTACTATAAAAACAAACAAACAAACAAACAAACAAAAAAAGAGTAGACTCCAGATTGGTCCGCGAAGTTTTGTTACAAAACGCATGCGAACAATCGCGCGCGTAACTCGAGGCAAAGCGTTTTACGCTATAAATGACACAACTATGTTAAAATATTCGGACGCGCGCGCCTGCTGCAATTTCTCCAAACAATGTAACTTCGCCTAAAATTTGCACGACCACCACCCGTAACACACTCGCTATGGCAGCGGCGCCTTCCGCAAACGCGCGCGAGCATCCCCCCGGAGAGTCCCTCCCGTTCCCGCCGTTATCCCCGAGAGACCTCGATGGAGAATCCTCTCGTCGTCGACTCGTGGCGAAACTCGCTCGGCATTCGGCGTCAGCGTCTTGAATGGTGACAAACGGCATGTACCACGGAACACACAATCGCGTCGTGGTGGCTGCGACTGCAGGTACAACCGGGAGCGGGGGAGAGAGGAGGGTGAAAGGAAGGAGGTGGGCGACGGACGAGGAGAGGGTGGACGGGCGCGGAGAGGCTGACTGCAGCGCGCGAGCAATGCGGCTGCTGTGCACCCCCCTCCTCCCCCAACAGCGACGTACAGTTGACAGAAGCGCTTACGGAGGCGAGAGATCGTGTAGTGCGTTCGCCTCTCTATCTCTTCATCCCTCTCCTCTTCGTCCCGCTTTACATCTCGCTCCGTTTCCACGCTTGTGCACGCGTGCGTACGTGCGTGCGTGCGTGCGTGCGTGCGTGCGTGCGTGGATGCGTGCGTGCGTGCGTGCGTGCGTGCGTGAGCGCATTCAAGCATACATACACTACGGGGGTGGCGCGCGTCGTACACGGGTCGATTCGTGCGAACGCCCGTACGCGTAAATTGAGGGAGTAAACGCATACGCGAGCTGCGTCAGATTCTTATGAAAATTACATCGAGGTAACTGTATCGAGATAATGAACGCGCGCGCGATAGAGACTCTCTCTCTCTCTCATACTATCGATTTCGCATATTCGTTTTCTGGCTGGCCCGCGACGATATGTGTTTGACGGTGCATCCTCCCCGTCATATCTTTCATTTACCGTACGTACGTTTCTTTCTGTTATCTTTTACCTACCGATAACTCAGAGAGAGAGAGAGAGAGAGAGAGAGAGAGAGAGAGGGGAGGGGAAGAGCGGTCCATTTCACGTCGCGTAATATGTTGCGTATGTGAAGAGAAGAAATATATGAAAAATGAAATGGTCGGAAGGCATGATGCAATGAGAAAGTAAGGAGTAATGGGCGAGATAGGCACTTCAAGAGGGATCAGTGTAACATGAAAGAAAATCGTATGTCTTGTGTGACATATCGTTTTGTGCAATGCGTTTATATATGCATATGTATATATATATACATATATATATACAGGGTGTCCCAGAATTGGTTTAACATCTCTCGTAGACAGGTAGAAGGAATAAAACTGAGGTGAAAAGTCCTATACCATTTTGCTAGCTTCGCAATAGTTACTGAGATTTTAATTAACAAAGATCCGCAAATAAACATGCATAACGGTGTTACCCATAGCGACATATGGGAGGAGCTAATATAACAGCATATACTATAACATATACATATTAAAATGTAATTGTGTGTAGCGCGCCGGGCTGTCCTACGCGCGTAAGACAGCCCGATGCACGCTTATTCGCGGATCTTTGTTAATTAAAATCTCGGTAACTATTGCGAATCTAGCAAAATGGTATAGAACTTTTCACCTCAGTTTTATTCCTTCTACCTGACTACGAGAGATGTTAAACCAATTCTGGGACACCCTGTATATATAGCGCGGATATATTCACAGATATCATATCAGTCGCAAGGAGATACGTGAACTCCGGAGAATGGGGGGGGGGGGAAGAAAAAAACAGTTTAATCGGAAATGCATATGTTTGCGCATAAGAGCGAAATTCGTTTATATATCTAGACCGCGGTGGGGGGGGGAGGGGGAGGGAGGGAGAAGTATTGCAATCCCGGCGTAATGTTTTATTAATTAAAACTTTCGCGCGCACGAGGCCGCGAGGGTAAATTGCGAAATGCTTAAAGCACAAGTAGTAATAAAACGTGTTTGCGGCTGATGCTAATGAAACGCGCGGTGTGGTGGGGAACGAACATTTATATAATATAATAGCCGGCCAAAAACAAAGAGGCAAATGGACATTACACTGGTTACCTCGCAACGGCGATGTTGTGTACACGTCGCGAAATGGTTGCATTTTACGAGTCCGAAGATATTGAACATTTCGATGGGGGGTTTTTGCTGTTTCGTTTTTTTTTTTTCA